ATTAACCTTTTCCAATTAAAATTAATCTCTTCCTTTAAAGCTGCTTCATATACTCCATATATATACTTACATTAACTCCATTAATCCACATCAATTTTCATTTCCCACTATGTCGTCTATTAAGTCATCGGATAGGCGTTTTGTATCAACCGTAAAGAAGCAAAATTCTATGGATAAATTGACTACTTTGTATAAGTTCTGTATTTTTCATATATCGCGGACATTCGCGGAGGAAATATAATGACTTCGTTATGGAAGTAAACGGTCTTATTTTATTTTATTTTTTACTTCCAAGTGCATACGAATAATTTGGATTGTTTGGTTATTGCTATCGGAAAGATAATAAAGAAGTTCAAAATAATTACCACATCCAGATTCCAACACTTTGTATAACTTTACTTCACAGGAAAACTTTAGAATATAAATCATATTACGTAAAAGTCAGGAACTATCGACCGGTTCATTTACAAAGTTGCATTGGTAAAGTTGAGTCATAAATTAAATGGACATCAGCGTTTAAACAAAATTCTACAAAACATAGGTCAACAAACATGGAAACCGTATTTCTCGACACTAGACTGATTCAATGCTCAATATTGTTAACTATGCGTTACTGGCATATGTGGGAGCTTCCAGCAATAACTCAACGTCGTTGTAGCAGAATCAACAAATTAGTATTGTAGTTACGCCAACATTGCTAATCTGGGATTAGCCAGAGCTTTAGTGGAGACCACAGCTATGGAGACGGTCTCAACTATCCAGCGATTATTAAAGGCAGTGTCCGTTATATCATTTACCGTCTTGCTTAATTCCTTATAAATGACCCTTCTCATGTTAAGATGACCTATATTATAATTAATTTCATAACATTTTGTCCGGTAGAGATATTATTAGGTATGTTACTCTGTAGGTGAAATATCCAACTCTACTTTCGCGTCTTCAGCTACTACTTCAGGTTAATTTCACAAAATCCCATCAAGCATTTGCAATTTTGCCAAGAAAAATGTTCTTGCACTTTTTAAAGTTCGGCCACTGATTTTCTTATGATTCAATAAACCAGTTCCACTATACAGAAACAATTCCAAAAAGTTCCAAAACATTAAAGGAGAATTATAGACCAGGAGAATTACTATGAAATCTCTCAAATATGACTATAACTTGGCAACTTGGATAACTGTTGGAACCGCTCCAGAATGGTTGTTAAATAACCTACCCGGAGACAAATATATTTTTTTTTTTTTCAAAGAAGTAATTTCTGAAGAGTTCATTTGCCAAGAAGAAAATCCACTACAATCGACAGAAGATCGATCGAAGACACCCCATGTGAAATCCAGCTACTGAAGTTCTCGAAGAATATGTCAAATTGTCGACTGATTCCTGTAAACACCAACCACGTAAAAATAAAAAAATTTGAATCCAACAAATGGATCATAATAATCCCTGAAACAACAGTCGCAGTACAAAAGTTCGAGAACAATAAAGAAAAGGGATTAAAAGAAGTTAAAAAGGAACTAAAAATCAGAAACAATATTTTACGAAATTTTGGAAATATCGTGCGGAAATATGAAAATATTGCTCTACCAAAAATAGACTTCATTGAATTCAAACACAAAGATCCAGAAGAATTCGAACCAAGTGCTGTAGAAATAAGCAAACAAAAAATTGATTTGTCCGAAATAGAATGAATAATGTTTCAACATATTGATGGATGGTCAATTTTAATCTATAGGAATAAATACAAAAAAATAGAACTGCTGTTTTGAAATTGAAACATTAAATGTGCATTTAAAATATTTATTTGTTCTTTAATGTTCAATTAGCTGCATAAATGTTGAGAAATCGATTATGAATTATTGTTATTGTTTGGAACATGTTGTCAATATAAATGTATTTCCCCGATGCGGTATTAAAATATGTTCGAATTTCGGTGGTGATTCTATCAAATCATACCTACACATTTACATTTATTTCATATTTCATCGTTTATTTTTTTATGAAAATAAACATTTCCACAATTGCGAATAATATTTGCTTTTCTTCCTTTATAAGTCAGTTAGAGAATTGTTAAAGCAAACATTGCAATACTGACTCAGCTATATTTATATATAAGTATATTAAATGTAAGTTAAATGATAAAAAAGATTAACTTCAGAATCTCAAATTCAAGTTTTCTTGAATAAAACAGAAATCCTGCTACTTGATGCTTGTTTGCTTAGGGTGATCGTTGAGGCATGGCATTTCATGTCACGTTTTAATGCATTAGCTTCGAGAAATGTCGAGAAACTAGGGAGCTTATGAAATACAGAAATATTGTGCCTCTGACGAAAATAAAAATGCCGTGTTTAGGTGCGAATCCATTTAAAAAAATTTTACTTTTATGCTTGAACTATGATTATCATATGTCATATGTAGTATAGTAATAGTCATGACCAACAGAATTGTGTTCCAAATTAATATTTCGATTCTAAAATAAATTGCCTTGCCTGATTCGAGAGGATGGTGTTTCTATTAAATTTCAATCCTGATTAAATGGAGATTCCTAAAGAGGTTACTAAAGAATGCAGCTCTATCGCCATTGATGGCATAATTAGGACCAGAAGCAGGACTAGCCGAAACTATAAACTTTTTCGGCAATGCTAAAATCCTTTGGGGCCTTAACGGTGATATTTCAGGAATTCCGTATTAACTCTAGAAAATATGTCATTAAATGCCAATATTTTGTTAATATGGAACATTCCGGACTTAATTAAATTTCATTTACTTAAATCGAAGGGCCGTTAAAATAGTTGCGGCTAACTAATATGTTAAAGATGGGTTAGAAAGGGTTCAATGGGATGCCTATTGTTTGGTCCTCTACATTTAATAAACTTTTCGATCACATCAAATTCATGAAAATAAATCAACGGTCAGGGCCATAGCAAGAACAGGACATTTGAAATACCTATTTTTTATATAAAAATTGATGGAATTGAGCTGTTATGTTGGTCGTATGACATATATACAAAAATATGTTCTTTCCTATACACTACTGGCTTTATTGATAGTAGCTCAATAAATTTGAGAGACTTGAAAAGATTTGTGAAGTATTATTCTTTAGTTAGGGTTGACAGTGTTCACAAAATGTTTGCAAATTTATAAATGAACGGTAATAAAATTTAGTCTCAAAACTCTTCTGGTGATAATTACACTAAAAAAAAACGGGACGAAAAGGGAACTAATATTTAGAGAATCCACAAAATCTAAGTTTTTCGTTACGCCTTTAAAATAATTTCTAGACAAAGCAACTGACATTTCTATCGGTATAACTTCACGAGGTAGATCTGCTAAATAAGGTGTTGCAGAGCTTATCTTTAAGCAGCCACGTCAAGCCGCTACAATAAGATTTTCTGCCATGAAACATGATGCGTTAGGACTAATTATATTTGTTGCAGTTCCTGTAACTACAGTTATAATGGTTTTATCTTCACAACTAATTTATCAGACTATTAAGGTTTTGTGCTATGTAGGACCTAGAATGCTCTATACAAAGTGTGAAACAATTTGCTGAGCCAATGCTAAGTCAAACACAATCAGCTAACTAAATTCAGCTCTCAAACCTCCAAATTTGCTATTAGTTATGAAATCACTTTCTAAAAACTTAGAATCCGGTCTTGGTATTGCCTCAATAACTCCCTTAGTGCCACAAGAAGACTTAGGCTGAACCGACCAAAGACAAATTAAACTCACATAATCTCAAAGTTTATCTTTCCCTTGTCAAATCATTTTCAAATAAATTTATGCACTTAATCCACTATTATAGGGAGTTTAAGGAACTTGGAAACTTTCACTATATATTATTTAAGAACCCCCGATAAACCTGTTTAGATCGATTGAATTTTTAACCTGACATATTTAATTTGAGTTTACGAACACTGTTCAATATTTATTAGATAATACATGACAAACGTCTATTTAGTTACTATAGACTTTCACAGTTAGCTCAAATCAAATTCTTCTGCTTACTTTTGTATTTGTTTTGTACTTATCGAGTGTATTTACAATTACAATTCTAATCCTGCCCTCACAGCTCTAATAGGCGTATAATACTAATTGTGAGCTGTGAAATAGTGTTATATTTTTCGTCAGTCAGTCAGTGAAATTTCAGAGAATTATTAATGCAGGGCGCACGGGATTTAAAAATACATATATATCAAAGGCAATTTGCTGGTGAATTTACCTGCTTTTCCGTAATCTAATGTAGATAACCTTATTACATTATGTCGTTTGTCGGAATAATCCCGCAAAAGTTGAAGGTAACTGAACCATCATTTTGTTAATTACGCTGCCGTACTGAACATTCCATATTGTTAGCCGTATTATCCATATTAGCTTTTAAAAATAGAATTAGTCGTCGATATTCAACACTAATTAAATTGACCATGTCATAATTTCGAGCTTCACTGATCACAAATATATTTAATATTCTGGCTAATTTATCCTTCACAACTACGAACCGATAGATGCGTCGTTGTTTTCCTTCGGAGCCACAACATAGATCATAGAAAATTTAACTCATGTATTTCCGCATTAAAAATAAGCTAATTGGCAATGAAGGATTAGCCATCAGAAGTTGTAATTCTTTTCAATGAAAAGTTTTTTTACCTTTTGAGAATGCTGTTCTTAATTTAGCTAGAAGCTTATTTAGCTGTTTCTTTTGGCAATATTTGCTATTAGAGATGCTATTGCCTGCATGACTAATCCAAACTGAGTAGATGCAATAATTGAAGCAATTTTATTAACGGTAAAACTTGAAGTCCAACTCTCAATATGCCAAATGCTTTGAACCCGCTCTGAAAAATACGACGTGGGGTCTTTATATTAAACAGATCATAGTTTTTGGTCAACGAGTAATAATTTCAACATGGTGCACGTTATTCGCTCGATTTTTTATTGGGATCCCCAAAGACAATATCGAGACGAAATCATTCCCAATATGTAGAGGAAACATTTATGAGATTTACCTTCGGTAAAAATGGGCTGCAATAGAGTGCAAAAAAGGAAGAATGCTTGCGTCGCTGTCATATCGGGGAACTGAAGGGAAAACTGTCTATTTAAGGCTGCCATCTTTGTGTCCGATAAGCGATGTGCGTCTTTCTACCATTCCTGAAAGTGTAAATAAGAACCTTCAGTTTAGGCATCACAAAAGCAAAATTAAATCGTAAATAACGGCATTAAAAATGTAGTTGAAATGTCATCAAATTTTATAGACAATTATTGGCTTAACTTACTATACACCAATAGTCGCATACTTCAATCTATTCAACTTTTATTGAAATCCGCATGGAATTAGGTACACGTTACTTAGCATCTCAATTTCTACGCATATCCCTCTATTTTGTTAAATGACCTAAGTGGTACATTATGAAGGAAATATTAGGCTCAATAACTTCGCCAAACTAAAGTGCATCTAAAGGGCTTATAAGTCATTTTGTTAAACTTGATCATATGGAATAAGAACTCTATCTCTATCATTACTATAACATCACATCTAACTCCATCATCACCAGTTATCTGAATATATTTTTTGTCCACCTCTAAATTGTTTCTAAAACTATCGCTTTTAGAACTAGCGCTCATAAAATATTAATTTGCAACGATTTAACCACACAGTTCTCACAAGTATGCCTTTCTTCTCCTGCGTCGTTCAACAACTCAAATAGCCATTTATGGTATAAAAAAATATTTACTCTCAGTTTTGTTAGAACTGTTCAATAATTCCGCTTTCGATTTTTGCATTACCGCTACAATGTTTCTAATAAATAATAATTACATGTCACTCAAAATTAAACGACATTATAAGAAGCAGTGAAATTCCTACCTATTGAGAAAATACGGAACCGAAATCACAATAAAAAGTATTTGTCGATAAACAATGAGAAATATGGAAAATAATTCAGCAGCACTTTTCTGGCAAATTAAAGGCTTCCGCTGAACGAGTAACATTAACTATTTTCGACAGCATTGTATTTTTATTGTTAAATACTATTAGTGACCACAAAGCTGGGTTGTTTATTGTTGGAGTTTTAATCCTGCAATATCTTATATCACATGAGAATATTTCCTATACTTTGACACTAAACCGACAAACATTTATATTTCTGTTATTTAAATTAAGCGCTATTCAACAATTTATTCCGGATAATGGGCTGATATGACCAGTCCAACTGTCTCAGATACGTGGCTGTAGATTCGATTTCACTATCATTGAGATCACATTTAGCTAAGAAAGAGGATTTAAGGGCTTTGGTTAAACCAGATTTATGGTGTTGATTTATGCTCAATATTTGGGTTCCTGCTTATACTTTCCTTCAGGATGATATTGGTTCTGGTTAAAACTTCATCATATATGTATAACTTTACTAGGGCATTTTGCCGCTATTATTAGTTTCTTTAAAGAATTTTGTTGCGAAATTTAATAATCCTGAAATAACGAATAAAATGTTATAAATATTCGCACTTTAGGACGTAGAAATTCAATTCTATCTATCATAAAATATTGCTCACTTATTTTTGTGCTTCTATTTTTCATTTTAATCTACTGACGCGACGTTTAGTTTGAGGCTTGAAGCAAAAGGTTTGAGACGCGATGCTAGAAGACAAAATCCGTTAAACTGAACATTTTGACAATATATAAGCGTTTTAAGGCTGGTGTAATACATTCAAGATAAATGCGTTGCTTTATAACATCAGACAAATGGAATTTGATTTCATATTCATATTATATTTCTCAGCCTTGCTCTTATACATTTTCGCTAGGATTTCGGAATATTTTTAGCCTTAGTGTTCTGCTTCAGTTTAAATACGTGAAAATGTTCTTTGAGTTAAATTGTAATTCCTCATCTCTAGATGAGAACAAAGACCCGATTCCAGGATGCCTTATCACGTTGCTAAAAATTTCATAGAATTACAGTCCTTTAATGAATTAATTAATTTCATTGTAGTCTTAATCCTACGTAGTACAAAGCAAATATGAATATAAAGCTTCGAATTCACATTTATTTTAAATTCGTTCATACGGCAGGAAGAATAAACCTACCGAAAATTGTGATTATTTCTCTATTGGTCATGCTCATGCTTACTTTACATTTGGCAGAAGCAATCGTGACAGGTACAATTTAGGAACCAAAGTTCTTATCTTTCATCTTGATGTTGAGAATATAATTTTATTAGCATATTCAAAAAAAAATACTTAGAATCGTGAATTTGATGCTGGAAAAATTGGTTAGAATGAAGTCAAAATTGAAATATGCTATTGTCTATTCTGTTGTGTTTTACGGAGTTCGGGTTATAGTGTACAAAGACTGAAGTGACAATGAATGTGTACCCCAGGTGGCAACCGCGTTGTTTCAATCAAAGGTTGGATATGCAAACGTGTGTTGAGAAAAGCTTTGCGTAAATCCAGATTTGCCATATATATTCCACATGACATTACAAACTTTCTGTATACATTCTTAGTAATTTACGCAATATGAATACGAATGTGGGGGTTTATATAAAACAAAACGCGCTTAGAATTGCAGCACCAGTAAATTTGAACAGCGTATCAGGAATTACGGTTATTTTATAGCTTTGCACTTCGTGGCAAATTTCATTTGCCTACTCATTGCAGCTGTGCCGTGACAAAATTAAGCACACCATTTTTATCAAGCCGCTGAAATGCACGATTCTGTAACTGATAAATATGATGTATATCTAACGAATATTCGCTTTGATTTGTTCTATTTTTACCCATTTTCGGATTCAATAATTCACGTCGACGAAAAAAGCTCGCCGAAAACGCTGGATAATGAACTATTCATTTAATTTTTTCGTATTTTTAAAATTGTGCTTTTGCAAAATGGTCATACAATTATTCAGGCATTCCATATTAAATACATTATTTGAGTGATAACTGAGAGATATAAGTTTTTGTATCGATTGTCTTTCAGTAACTGACCTGCCGTAGGCTACCAAACAACTGAATTACTGACTTATAAAAACAAGAATAAATACATAGTCTCCTATTTTTTCTCAAATTAAAGCCGCGAAAATAACGTTAACTAAATTTTTCTACCATTTTCACTAGGCACTCTATCATCTAGTTATCAGGGGATCTCTAAACCTGAATTAACTGCCTTTTTAGTCTTTTATCTGACCAATAATTCACTCTCTTGGCATTTATGGGTTACAGAGCAAGAGCTGCGTATATAACAATTTGATCGCAAATATGATATGCAATATATTCGGTAGAAAATGTATTCCTTTACGGCATTGTATGAATTTTCCACATACGAAGAAGGAATTTATCATCTTATTTTTTGGACTATAGACTAGAAAATATATTTTAGGCACCGAATTGCTATTAACAAATAGGAAAAAAAATAAAATTTGTCATGTCCTGTCTACAGTATTCTCTAAACTGATATACCATATCTCAACTTAGGAAACTATTTAGACTTAATCAAAACTTCACTGCCGGAACCACGTAAATAACTTCGGAAACAGGAAATTTTTCAGGACGTTTCACGAGAAATTTAATAGCAAACCATCGATGATCATAAACTTCGTAAGAACTCTCGATATTTTTATTTACGTGCCGATAGTCAAGAGAAATGTGGCCGACAGTTTAAAAAACGGTGGGTTTAACTGATGGCGTCAAAAGTACGGAATTAAAAAAAACATACTTAAGTTTCCAAATCGAGAACAATTCTTAGCTATCAATGGACAGAGAGGAATGTAAAGTTAATTTTTTATCACAATCGATACCGTTCTGACTGTCATGATTTGAAAAACCGACAGACTCTAACAACTTAGTTGTCATTGATCATCAGAACAAATGTTGTCACTTTCAAATCCTAACTTTTGATTTCTGGTTTTTTGAAACTTTTAATATAATAACAAAGTAAAAAACCATATTGAACATTGTATCTATAATGGGGCAGATTTTATTGCCTGCCACGAAAAAATTCAAATTTCCTTGATTGAAACAAATAGTACATTTTGAAAGAAACATAGAAAGGACAAGAAGGAAAATGGCATTCCGATTATTTCAATACATAAAATGTATATACTTATGTTCTATTCCAAAACTTATAATCTTTTTAACGTTTCGTGCAAAATGATGAACCACTTAATGTCGTCAAATTATTTAATTTCACAACTAAAACGATGCAAAACTAAAATTACGGAAGTCGGCTTTACCATACAGTATTTTAGCGAGTACTTTGAATTTTTACCATTCGAGTTTAATTAATGCTTTATTCGATTTATGTCAAAGAGCAAGAGCATATCTAATCTAATATTCGTGTTAATGCGAGTTTCTTCAGTCCACAGTAGCAGTAATAATTAACAACATATTAATAGACAATAGCATATTTTAACGAGTATCCGCGTTCATTTTCTAATAAACGTTTTCTGGGACATAATGAATTAAAAGCTCTCATGTGGGGTTTCTATGGACATTAAATTATCGAGGAACAAAGTGAAACTTGTTTCGTTTATGAATAAAATATCAAAATGCCCCGCATTCCACTGTCGCATCTCTATTTTAAACCCATCTCAAAATCAGTGTTTTCAAGCGTCCCCATTTATGCTAATCTTGTATGTAATCCTTCTTTGTAACTAATTATTCAAATATAAAACCATTGAATGGAATTGAATACGGGCGGTTAATGAGTACTGGACTTTCGCATCAAGAAGGTGCTTTTAATTGTTGTTAGTTGATTCATATTGGCACCGAAGTGGCTGTTGATGCATTTCATATTTTAATTTTGCAAGTAAAATTTTTTATAACCAACTTTATTTACTTACATAATACATAGTTTCCTGCAAAAATTCCACAATGCCGCCACTGCCTTTATACTGGTTTAGGGACGTAACGCAGTCAACTTGCAATAGGTCCAATAATTTAGAGGGTAAATTTGCCAAATAATTAATGGTTGCCAAAACAAATGTGTCATTTTATATATTCATGAACAATTGACATTTTCGGTATCTAAATGAACGTGAAAAAGGAATTTTTGTTGCAGCTAAATTAGTTTTCCAAAATCCAATTTTGAAACGACCAATTTGTTTTTGTTTGGTCATGTTTTAAATAATGCAGTCGTTTATACTAAATAATTAAT